CCGAACAAAAATAAAATATGAAATTTTATTTGTTAAATGTAAGCATTAATCTTAATATCATCAATAATCTTTGAATTTCGTGTGCTAGAGAAATAATGTTTATGCTATGTTTAGTTTAGTTTAGTTTATAAATGCATTTACACATTCATTGCTCATAGTAATGTAGCTATATTGATCTATTATGTCTTTTATGTATGTATGTTGCAATTTGTTACATGATCATGACTTTGTTTACAAACAATTAATTTACCAAACAATATCAACTTTTACTTTCTCGGTTTTCGTGTAGAATCTACTTTTTACTTTTTCTATTACACAAAAAATACTTATTTTACCAAACACTACCAATTTTTACTACTAATCACTTTTTCCCAAATAATGCTTTTTATTTAAGCACAATCACTTGCAAACAGAGCCTATATGTTTTTACTGGTTATTAGTGGTGATTAACTTTTATTTTATGTAAGTTAATTTTTTTTTGTAACTTAAATTTTTATATTGATAAAACAAAGAAATATTCATCTCAACTATATCACATAGGACATACTCCGTATGTATTCATAAACTTTTATCAAACTAGTCACAAACAATGTAAATTAAGAATATATACACACTTTTATCTCTCCCACATACTCATATAATTCAAGACATATTTGTTTATTATTATTTTCTTTATTTGTTCAAGAATGCTTGCATTTTTATGTGATATGTTTGATCCCTCCAACTTTTATATCAATTTTAAATCAAATGACAATTTTTTAGTAAAAAACCGAAACCGGACTGAAACAAACTGAACCAATCAAATCGTGGTTCCAAGTTTTGGAGTGTAAAACCGAACCGAAACCGAACATGACTTTTACTTTGGTTCCGTATTTGGTTTTAGGTCAAAACCGAACCGAAAAAACCGAACTCACCCCTATACACGATGGACCTCATTTTAAATCTGTTTCTCGTCCAAACTCCAAATCAAAAGTGGTCATACTTTTGTCCTTTGAAACTCCACTAGTAATATTTGGGTCATTCTTTCTTTTATTTTTCCATGTACACAACGAACAGCGAAGAGCATACCTCGGGTTTTTTATTTATAACCTGACCTGAGAATTTCATCATACCAAATAGATGCTCCACAGAAAAGGTTTTGTAAACCAGATCATCAATCTGCCATTATATACATTAAAAATATTTTGTACAATATCGATTAATTAAAAAATACAATAGTATATGTGTTGGGTGTGTTTCGAAAAACAAAGAAAAATAAATTGATTAAAATTAATGTAAATGACAAAGAAAAACAGAAAATAGATGAAGTAGAATTTAGCAAAAGCTCGTGCTACGCACGATGTCCTTAAAGCGTACGGCATTCTTGTCCGCGGGTCGCCCGCGCACGCAAGTCGCAACTTTTCTTCTCCGTTTTTGGGATTTGATTCGCACCCCCCGTGCACAAAGAGAGCCTTTCCACTTAGGAATCTTAACTCCTTAAAAGAGACTTCCCTTTATAAGAGGTTCAAAATCCCTTGGGTTTTCCGGAGTGGGAAAAACCACACTAGAAACCCATCTTTTCATAGTTTTTCAGTTTCAACGACGAACTTCGAGAATCAATTTCTCATTCACCCGTTATCCGTGTTGAGCGTACCTTATATCGAATTTTAGCAGTTAATAAGGACAATGCGAAACCACTTTGGTCCGACCCAAATCGGAAGTGGACCCCACTCAAAATATTGCCCCAAAATGACCATTTAATGCAATTTATTAACACATTTTCCAACAATATGTCATGTATTTAGATTAGAATGTCCTTTGAAATATTGTAACACCATCGCCAAGTATATTTACTTTTATCAAATTATGTATTGAATCCTGTTAAATGGTTAATGAATTTACGTGGTTGTAATTTTTTGTTATTACTTTTATGTGAATAGTAAAATACACGTGGGGCCCACATCGGGAGCGAGGACCACCCGATATTTCTAGGGCAACACATTGTATTTATCATGGTCTAGAAAATATTTGTATGATGGTGTAACCAATGTTGGGCCATAGAAACAACATAGAGTTGGCCGATTGATGAAACAAAGCCCATATACCTGTGTTAGTATATTGTCAGATAATAACCCGTAATAAATTCAGGGGACCACTAAATTAAAGTGAGGAATATATATTCATTTTAGAGGCCCATAATAATTGGGAGAATGGTTATTTTATTTGGCCCGATAAAATGAAATTTAATTAAAACAGTCTGAGAAATACAACTTTTGGGACTAAGTGTACACTCCTGGACGTAAAGGGACGACCTCCCAAATGAGTGGGGCCATGTTTAAGCTGTTTTTTGTAAGCTAAACTTCGTAAAATACGACTTGTATATTCGGAAACAACAAATAAATTAGGTATCATGCAAGAATCAAAGAACTAGCCGAATATCAAATGAATAGCTAAAATATGATATATTCAAGAAGTTTAGAGGTGTTTCAAGGTTGTATACAATAGTGCATAATGTTCAAGCATTCTTCTTACATCCATTGTTCATTGTATTTGAATAGGCAAAATTTGGACGAGTTATCAAGTCGTTTCAAACAGTCTGATTAGTAATGCTTGAAAGTAAGCACTGTTATGATTCCATCTGCATTTGCAGTCCGTTACAAACCTGCATTAATATTAACCTTCTCTTCTTCCGAGTTGACCATCCGTTAGTGTGACATTTAATAATGCAATTTATATTCTAAAGGTTCTATTTATATACAATGTTTTCTTGTTGGACAACCTTCTCATTGATGTTACCAATAAATGCTCATAAACGTGACAACTCCATCGTCCCATCATTGTCCAACGGTTTGAGGACTTCGTCATAAAGATTGGTTGACTCTTAATTAACCCCCTCCTTAATCATAGTAATGTCCGTATTAACACATAAAAACGTCCTAACGGCCAACATTATGTTCATTAACTTCCATGATCAATTCAATGAATGTAGAGTCAACCCGCCAAATATTTGGTCCAACAATTGCCCCCTTTCGAGAAGTTGAGGTGTACGGGTGCACATGTTGAGCCGTTGAGCAGCAACTTTTTGAATTTTTTGAAAGGATTTGTACTTCACATCCTTGATTATTGCGCTTGTCAGTCTGTCGTCCGTTTGACAAGATACCTTTCAATCTGTCATTCGTCTTGTGAAAAAGGGCCTATCAATTCGTCATCCCAGTTTGGCAGAATGCGTATATCAATCTGTCATATCTCTGACAGAAAGCTTTCGTCATCTTGTTTCTTATTGAATTCGTCGTTATGACTAAGACAATATTGTTGTAGACGTAGTAAACTGTAATTTCGTCAATGGTGATATTGACGCTTCGGTTTGGCAACTGTAACTTCGTCCCTTGTTGAGCGGGTGACAAGTCTAACTCAATGAGTGTGCCCGATGTCCTGCAAAAACATTTACCACTATTTTGTTTGTATTTTCAACCTAGACATGAATGTTTAAGGTTGATTTTGAAGTTTAAGCACATCTCCTTAGGGATTTTAGGTAAAAATTAATTCGGGCCAAGATAACTGATTTGGTCTCTTAGTCCTCTAAAAGAAAATACTTGAGGCCAGACTGAACAATGATATTTTCCCTTTCAATATATATACTAAATAAATATCAATATACTCCCTCCGTCCCGCTATGATTGTCTCATTTTACCTTTTCGGTCCGTCCCACTAAGATTGTCTCATACCTTATTTGGTAAAATTTGTGTGGTTCTAAATCATTCTTACTTTATTTTTACTTTATCAATTCAATATCAACCACATAAATCCACTTTTATTAATAATTGTGTCACCTTCTCTTGTATCAAACTTAGGGGGACAAAGATAGTAGTATTTATTTCTTCGATTAAAAAAATTATGAACTTACTGGTCAACGTTACCTGTCACAAACAAAACATGTTAAATAATATGGAGTACATCACATTATTCATAGAAGAAACTTATTTAACTAACTAAAATCAATAATAATGATTAATAAAACTAGCTCATCAGGATGATACATAAGGATTTTTTGTCTATCCCACCCCTTTCAAACAATGTGTACACATGTGTGAACAGTAAAATGTGTACGATAAGACTAAGGACACATTTACTTCAAATGTTACAAAACGGTGCTTATTAAGAGTCGCGTTAATAAGCGGCGCATAAAATTAACAGTGTTGTAAGCTCATGTTTACTTCAAAAGATATAAAACACTGTTTAACATTAAAATATCTATACAAAAAAACATTAAAATATCTAAAATAACCTTATACATATATAACACACAAACATTCATGAACACAATTATATACTACGTAATATAATATGTGGGATCACCTCGTACATGTACTCATATCCCTAACTCCACCCTATAGCCCCCATACCCCCACCCTACACCCTTACCCCACCCCCACCCCACCCTTCCCCTACCCCTGTATCCACTACCACTTTCCATTACCTCAACCCCACCCTACCCAACTCCTGACCCTACCCATTTACACCTACCACGACCCCACCCCTATGAGAGATGGGTATGTGATGAGGGTTGTAGAGAGTAGGGGAGTAGGGGTAGAGGGTAAGGTCGTGGTAAAGGTTGAGATGAGTGGGGTCGAGGTAGGGGAAGGTGGTAGGGGGTAAAGGGGTAGGGTCGGGGTAGGGTAAGGTGGGTATGGTGGGATGGATAGAAGGGGTAGGCGGGTATAGGGGTAAAGTCAAGGGGTAAGGGTAAATATAAATTCGGAAACTGAAAATGCTTAAAATGCCGCTTAATGAATACATGGAGTGGTGATATGCTTAGTTAGCGACACTTTAAGCATCGGTTAGTAAGGAGCATTTTAAATAGTTTGCGTGTTTATTTCACTTGTCTTACTAAGCTAACACTGACTTTAGCAGCGAAATAAACACCTTCTAAGAATTGTGAATAAAATAACGACCACGTGTCTGCTAGGAATAGAAATCTGGACTCCAATTATAAGTTCAGAGCCCATATCAATTTGGCCCATCTATAATCCTAGGTTAGCTGCGTATATCAGTATATAAACATCATCCCATAGCATAGCATTACTTCAGCAGTTCCGTGTCTGCAAGGAACCGGAAGATTAACACCCTCGTCTCCGGTCGATATTCCGGCATATATACAGGTCACGGCCGCGGTATCCGCTTTCAGGTTCCATATCTCGCCCATTTTCTTTTCATCTCGGTCAACATACATTTCGACAACACTTATCTATATTTTTTATTATACTTTTTGTATGTTTAATACGAGTTCCCTTTTGTTAATTGTTTCTTCTCTTGTGTTATGTGTATTGATTGATACGAATGCGACCGAATTGTGGTTAGTGGCGAGGAGGCTGCTGGTAAACGAAGCCAGAGAGCTAAAATATTCACAGGCTGTGGACGATTTTCTCAAAGCTAGTAAGTCCGGTTACATTTGTACTACTATTCTTATGAGTATTTATGCATCGCTGTATAGATGTAATATATTTTGAATATAAAAAACCCTTTGTTAGAGTTGGGTATACCCATTCATAGCATTTATTTGCCATTTTATTAAACGCAATGCATTTTTGTAATTTATCTTTGATTTCACACAATGATTTGTCATCATTTTATTGTCTGTTTTTAGACAAGATGAGTCTATATTATTCAATGTCTTAAGATTTTAGCTCTATTGTTTTTAAAAACTGCTCTTAACACTGAAGCAATATGAACGGGTTTAAACATTAATGTTTCAAATAATGTTAATCATAGTATTCCAGTTTATAAAACTAAAAAAATCTTTGGTCATGTTCAATTAGATATTCGTTGTAAATTGATTATCTAGAACCAACATTAGTCATTCTTTCTTTATCCTATCCTTCTAAGTCTAAATTTTTTAAAAATGTTTATGAATGTTAGTATCATCCACCATTTGTATCATTTCTTTGTTTAATTACTGTTTTTAACACTGAAGCAATATGAATGGGTTTAAACAATGTTTCAAACACGAGTTTTGGCCGTTGATGTTGTAAAATATTTGCTACTCTTGATTGGAAATTCCATGTGATGATATTTTTCCACCAAGATCTCTGAGGCCTCTTTGTATTTCTCTGAAAATTTGGTGTTTTTTAAATATAAACAGATTTAACTTACAACTATGTATTTCTTATATATCTGAAATACTACTTGTACGTGCTTCAAATTCATTCTGTTCTCCTCCCTCAATTTAAACACAGCCCAAGTTTAGGACTTCTTCTTAATGTGGCATGGGTGATGAATTGATTAGATGAGTGAGGGGTGTTTTCTTCTCTGAACAAACTTACGAGGCTTATTGATATTCTGACATGCCACCGTCCAAGAAATCATGCCTTCCCAACGTTAAACTTGCTCTCTTGTTCAAGAGATTTACAATGTTTAGTCTATTGTTTTTAAATATAAAGCGGTTGTATTCATCTATTAGCTTGGTCTTGCCCCACCCTATCCAATGCCATGAGAAACTCATTTACCTCTCTGGTTATGTATTTATATTTTGAAGTCATTTTCTGTTGGAGTTGGTGTGTGAAGAAATATATATTAAAACACAGTGTATTTCGGACAGAAAGGCCTAGAGGCCTTGTTGATATGCTGCATTTCCAAGGATGTTTCCATTCATCAAATTGTGATATTTGTATTTGTGTTTGAGATGACCTTAGTTTTCATGTATGGGATGCGTGCTTATGGACGGTCAAGTGCTGTTCTGATAAATCAATGACGGCACTTAACAAAATGAACATAAGCTATATTCAACTATAGCCACCTTGTCTTTCAAGTCTTTCATGTAATTGTTATGAAGATGACTATCCGTGTTGTGGCTTACATTTATTCAATGAAACGTCTATGTGAAGTTGACAATATAAGTATGATCGACTAATGTTGCTATAAAATATAGATTTAGAGTTACTTTTCTAGTTGAATAGACTAATGATACTATAAAATATATTTTTAGCTAGCTTCAGCAAACCCCGACCTCCAAGCGGGCGATCCTTAGCATCTCTGCATATCGACAATGGTGACCGCGGGGAAGAAGACAAAGAAGACCCATGAGAGCATAAACAACAGGTTAGCTCTCGTCATGAAGAGTGGTAAGTTTACACTTGGGTACAAAACCGTTCTCAAGACCCTCAGGAACTCCAAAGGAAAGCTTGTATTGATATCTAACAATTGCCCACCTCTGAGGAAGTCTGAGATTGAGTACTATGCTATGCTTGCTAAGGTTGGGGTTCATCATTACAATGGAAACAATGTTGATCTTGGGACAGCCTGTGGAAAGTATTTCCGTGTGTCGTGCCTTAGCATTGTTGATCCAGGTGATTCTGACATCATCAAGACTCTGCCGGGAGACCAATAAGAGATTTACTTAGTGGTGTTAATCACATGTCCTCTTTGTTTTGCACTTGTTTTCTCTGAGTTTGAGTCTGATACTACTGGATTACATATTAAGTGTTACCTATTTGACTCTAAACGTCGATGTTTCAAATTTTGACTCATTATTAAATACTTTGTTTATATCCTCCCTTACCTGCCTAGGAAAAGCATCTATAAGGTTCTGGTTCTGACTTTTCTTGTTTAGAGAACTGGGATTTGTTTTGTTGATACCTGTTTGAACCGGGGACAGCCCTACCCAAATCTAATGCTTCTTCCTCTCCCCAATCACTGCCTTGTTACCCTTATACACTTCACACCAATCGCATAAACAACAAAACCCCCCTCCATCTATCCTCACATTCATGAATGGATCGCCCCATTTTGCATCCCTTTCTACAAATAGCGTTGCTCACACAGATTACAATGAAATTAGACCCATGTCACCCATCCTTGTTGATTTGGGTGGACTTAATCTCCAAACACTTCTCCACTTTATTTCTCCCACCCAATCTGGTAATCTCATGTGCCTGCTGGTATAATTATGTTAATGATGTTTCCGTTGTATTCTTTAATCTGTGCACAATAAGCCGATGCTCTGGATTAAAATAATGAAGGAAGCATGGTTATGTGCACGGAAATTGAATGCCCAGAGTCGTCATGTCTGCTCCCTTTGATCCTTCTAAAGGACCTATGATTTGGGGGCCTGGATTAGACTCATATTTTACACTTTCAAATTCAATTTTTCTAAGTTTTTAATCACGATTACTGCTACAATAGATTTTAAATAGCTGTACTTGAATATGCAGTATGAGAAATTTCCATTTCATGGTGGTGGAGAGGCACATAAACGGAAGCCCCACCAGGCCACCATCCCAGATCAATACCCACGTCAAGGTTCTCGGTTTTGATCTACGAACTCTTTCGCTGAATCCGTCAGATCCGACCATCATCTACCGCAAAGTGTAGGACTTGTTCTTGATGTGGCATGGATGATGAATCGATTAGATGAGTGAGGGGTATTTACTTCTCTGAACAAACTTATGAGGCTTATTGATATTCTGACATGCCATCATCCAAACTCAGTATTTAATCAGCGATTATTCTTTTCATTCAAATGACAAGCCTAATGTTGCAATTCCTTGATTGGAATCCAGATTGAAGCGGTGGATTGAGGAATCTATCCTTAGGCTATAACAATTTTAAAAGCATACATATTCATTCCTGTATGTATGTGTCTACAAATAGCTCTGAATCCTTCCTCAATTTCATGAGATTACGCAGTATTTCTTTTGGAGATATGGATTTGATTGGGGTGGATGAAGAAAAAATCAGACGGATTCCCTATGAATTCAATCTTGATCACAACAACCAGCTACTTATTTTTCTTTTCAACTTATTTTTGTAAATTTATATAGAATGGTCTAGTAATGCCGGCTGTTAATGTTATGGTCCAAGTGTAGGAATAGTTCTTAATATGGCATGGATGGTGAATAATTGATTAGATGAGCGAGGGGTATTTACTTTTGTGAACAAACTTATGAGGCTTTTGGACATTCTGACAATCTGACAAGTCATCTTCCAAGAATCCTGTCGTTTTTCCTAACGCTAAACTTGCTATCTTCCAAGAATCCAGTTTGGAAGTGCATAAAAGTAAAACCAGTTAAGATGCATTCAAGTAAAACTTGTAATCATTAAAATTAACTTTAGAAGTGCAGTTTAAAAGTGCACTTTAGATTACAACTCAGAAGTAAAATTACTTTGCACTGAACCACTTCTATAAACTGCACAAACGGCAACTTTAGATTAACAAAGGGGTATTTTAAAAGAAAGTTTGCAAATCCTGTTTAGAGTACAATTTGTAAAACTTGTTTGCAGTTAGATTACAACCTCAGAAGTGCAATTCAAATTAAAAGAAAGTTAAAATAATTTGTTTAAAGTAAAATTAGTTTTCAATCAATCTTTTAATAATGGGTAAAGTGTCTTGCAATAAGCATATTGATAATCCGATAAATCTAAAGTCTTCAATCAATCTTTAATGGCTGCAATCACAATTATTAAATACTAAAGTTGATACAAATATCATTAGCATTGTATCATACCATTGAACATGAATACTCACAATGTATGACAAGTTAATTGTTTGGTACAAAAAATATGTCTATTATCAAATGTACCCTTTAAACGAAAAAAACATTCTATAATATAGCCTTTGAAAAAGAATGTGCTGCTTTAAGACAAAATGTATCCTTAACTCCTTAATAAAATTTTAGATTTGATTCAGACGTGAACCCCATCCGGTCCCCATGGGTGCATTTTCCGCCTCTTCACTTGGTGCCATTTCTATTGGCCTTTGCAAGTGCGTGATTGAACAAAATAGGATCAACTGCAATCGCCTTAGATAGAATACCTTGTCTTTTCGGACTTCCTTTCACATGTGAGGTAGCTTGTATTTGTTGTGACCTTTGTATTTTAGCACCTCTATGATAACTTGTTCCAATGTGACCCATAAACGATTCATATTTCTTGAATCAGGCTCATCAAATGATTGTTGCACATAAATTGACCAAGTCATCAATGTTTGTTGAACTTTTTTAATACTTTAGTGAATTAATATCCCTAAATCATTGATGTGTGTTTTCTCGCACTTAAAATAGTTGTAGAAAAGTGGTTGAAAGTACGAGTATCGTCTCCACAGGGACGGACAAAAGGGAATTAAAGATTAACTAAACTTTAGCGATTAAAAAGAAATAAATAAAATAAAAGTGCAATTGTGCGAGATTGATGAATTGATTAAACGAAAACTAATGCTGATGAGCGAATAAAAAGATTTGGTTTTCCTTAATTAACGACGAAGGGAACAGGAATTGATTCCGGGGTTAACCAGATTTCTGGCAGAACAGGCCTAATTACATGAAATTAATTTAATTGAGCCTAGCTAATCATTACTAAGTTCTTACCGCTCTCGCGGCGTAGAGTACAATAATTTAGGGGTCCACGCTGATCTCTCATACGACAAGATCCTACATACTTCCTGAGTAATGAGCCTCATAATCAACAAGAGGATCTGTGAGGAGGCAGATTTAAAGAGACTTTCTAGCTTGGAAGAATCACTCAAACAATTTCAAAAACTGATATGTGTTTTCTCGCACTTAAAATAGATCGTAATATAGTGGTGAAAGTACGAGTATCGTCTCCACAGGGACGGACAAAAGGGAATTAAAGATTAATTAAACTTTAGCGATTAAAAAGAAATAAATAAAATAAAAGTGCAATTGTGCGAGATTGATGAATTGATTAAACGAAAACTAATGCTGATGAGCGAATAAAAAGATTTGGTTTTCCTTAATTAACGACGAAGGGAACAGGAATTGATTCCGGGGTTAACCAGATTTCTGGCAGAACAGGCCTAATTACATGAAATTAATTTAATTGAGCCTAGCTAATCATTACTAAGTTCTTACCGCTCTCGCGGCGTAGAGTACAATAATTTAGGGGTCCACGCTGATCTCTCATACGACAAGATCCTACATACTTCCTGAGTAATGAGCCTCATAATCAACAAGAGGATCTGTGAGGAGGCAGATTTAAAGAGACTTTCTAGCTTGGAAGAATCACTCAAACAATTTCAAAAACTGATATGTGTTTTCTCGCACTTAAAATAGATCGTAATATAGTGGTGAAAGTACGAGTATCGTCTCCACAGGGACGGACAAAAGGGAATCAAGAATTAATTAAATTCAGCGATTAAAAAGAAAATAAAATAAAAGCGTCATGCAAGATTGGTTGGTTTGGAAAATAAAACTAATGCGAACAATTAAACTAGGGGGTTCTTTCTAATTAATGACGAAGGGAACAGGGATCGATTCCGGGGTAACCAGATTTCTGGCAGATCAGGCCTAATTACATGAAATTAATTTAATTGAGCCTAGCTAATCATTACTAAGTTCTTACCGCTCTCGCGGCGTAGAGTACAATAATTTAGGGGACCAGGCTGATCTCTCATGCGACAGGATCCAAAATTATTGCCAAGACGAGCGAGCTTACGGCCCCTTAATCGCTACTAATCTCTTAGCGAACGATTAAGTGTGTGTGAATGTGTCCTAGAACAAATTAGATCTCTCTTAATTTATTCTACATGCAATTGTAATTCTAGTCGCGATTCTAGGTTACAAAAGATATCAATTAAATTATTCAAACACAAATTAAACGACATTCATGCAATTAAACCGACAAGAATCTAGCCATACATCATGACTAACCCCTTCATCAATCCCAAATCCCTAATTAACACTACTCACAATTCATAATTGAAGAATCAATAGAATTGGAATAAAAAGAATTAATTGTCATTAATTAAAAAGGTGGAACTTACAAAGAATCCCAAAAGATTGATGAACAAGGCTGAAAAGCCCTCTAAAATTCGTGCTAGGCACTCTCTCTAAGCTCCCCCTTGAAAACGGGGGTTTACAGGATGTTTAAATAGAAAAATCGGGTGAAATTTGAGCTGAATTAGGATTTTCGGAGCCAGACACGATGCCAGGCACGATCGTGCCTTCGATCGTGCCTCCGGAGCAAAAACGCGCATTTTGGGCAGGCACGATCGTGCCTCCCTCCAGGCACGATCGTGCCTGGCTGGCAGTAGCTCCGCGGTGCTTTTCTCTTCACGCACGATCGTGTCTGACTTTGAGGGCACGATCGTGCCTACTTAACTTCCGAATTTGACTAGGCCTGGGATCGGTTCGGTTCTTGTTAAAATTCGATGGAACCGTATAAAAATTGTAGGGTTTAAATTCGGTTCGGTTCTAGTTAAAAAAATGGTTGTTAAATTCGGTTCGGTTCTACTTAAATTCGGTTCGGTTCTTACCTTTTTTCGGTTCCTTATAAAATTTTACTATCCTCCTGAAATGAACACATTTTACCTTCAGTTAAATAAAAAAATTCAAACTTTAAATCATTAAATTATGACCATTACATTATACGTGCATGATATCTCAATGTTCAAATAAAAAAAATATATATCCAAGTGCAACATTAAATTTCAACATACCAAAAATCTCGGTTTAAAATAGGCATCAACAGTCGAGCAAAAAGGTTTGATATCTCCAAAGTACACATTTAATAGCTGGTAGTTCAACCTCAAAATAATATTCTTCTACTAGTAATGCACAATAGGTAAAATGTACGTAGTAATAAACAACGTAATCAATAGAATATTAATTCCTTTTTCAGATGAACTCCAATACATTTACATTTACAAACAAAAAATAAATATAAAAGTGGACTAAAGTATTCAAATAATTACTTGGATTGGTGTGGTCCACAATATATAAGGTATATTATGCAAGAAAATATTCTTGACAAATAATTACTCGGATTGGCCCGGAACGCCGTCTGGCCATCTCCATTTGAGGTTCTTCCGTGTAGAATTTTTTGATAAAATTTTGTGAGTATGTTCTACATGAAATATAGATGATATATACCAAATTTCAGCTTAACATTCAATCGGGAAGTGAATTAAATAAAATATTGAAAAACATTGCGTTTTTATATATGTTGGCGTACTGTTTTTCAATAATTTATTTAACTGACTTCCCGATTACATTTTAAACTCAAATTTGGTGGACATAATCTTTATTTCATGAAAAACATTCTCACCAAATTTCATCAAAAAATTCCACTCAGAAGCACCTCAAATGAAGATTACTCATACAATGTATAAGAAGTTCGGTTCCTGGCTAGGAACCGGAACCGAACTGGAACCGAACCGGAACCGAACCGATGAAATACTATAGGAACCGAACCGAAAAAAGCTCAAGTCCAAAACTCTAGGAACCGAACCGAACCGGAAATTTCGGTTCGGTTCGGATCGGTTTTCCGGTTTTACGGTTCCAAGTCCCACCCCTAAATTTGACAAAACTTCCTTCATGAAAGTTGTAGATAATGAAGTCCTCTATCCACCCCAATTTGCCGAATGTGATTTGAATCATCCAATCAAGAGATATGATCAAAACGGTGGAAGGTGTCTTTCTGAAATCGCAGCAGAGATCATCTGACTGCATCGTCTGTTTTCACCTTCTTCCTCTCCGATTCTCGCAAAGGTGTCTTCATATGATTTGTAGCCCTTGAAGTTGGCTTTCCTATGAAACTTGAATCGTGTCCATTGGTTGTTTGTACAAAGAGATATGATTGAACGATTGACAGAAGGTCATCCTGATCGTCGTTTTCAAGCTCTATTCGTCTTCTTTTTTATCCCGAAGCCGGTCCTAGAGCTCTTTTTCCTTCAAATCTTCATTGTGAATCTTCCGGTGACCTCCAAAGCTATCAAATCATTCTCAAATGCTTCTCAAATCATCCCGATTGTTTCTCAAGTGCCGGTGCCGGACTCAAATTCCCTGATTTTGACTACAAACAACACAAAACTCGAACCAACGCCCGGTAAACATAACTTGAGCTAAAATTGAGACTTGCAACACCTTAAAGCTGGGAAAACCATCAAAATCCAACTCCAACACGCATCAAATGCGTGTCTAAATACGGACTTATCAGATTCCCCCACACTTACGCCTTTGCTTGTCCTCAAGCAAACTGAACAACGGGACTTACGATAATCACCACACGGAATCAAAACAATTAGCATGCACACGTAGTTAAAGGGATATTCACAGAACAAGTAGACTAAACCACGAAAATTCTTCCCTAAACTACATCTTTGTACTCTAGCTAAAATATTTGACAAAATTATTCACAACATCCTCAAAGCAGTGACAGCACACACAAATAAACTAGTTATTGATCAGAAGGACTTGTGAAGGTGGTGGTGAATGGATCATGGATAACAATAATAGTCCCTTTCTTTTGAGAGATTGGAATATTCTAACAAAGACTCAATGT